TTCCCCACAAACCCTTACCCCCCCCCCCCCCACCTCCTTCACCCTTATATACTCATCCACTATTTCAACATGCTACATCTCCATTATACAGCCACCCAAGCTACAACTTAATCCATTTGGAAGAAGTGGACTCCTAGACCGGTTGTTTAAAACAAGCCAATTTTTTTTGCTTATTACCAAGTACCATTGGAACACCAATTATTCATGATACTTTTTAGCATGAAAGGTGATGTTGTTGCCTAGTTCAAGGGGATGAACATGAACAATGTAATATCATATTAGGAGAATGTTATATATTCATTGAAATTGTATTTTAAACTACATGATTTGAGAATCATCAAGTGAAGTTGTTTAAATTTTTCAAGATTATAACTATTACTAGTACCAACAAGGATTTGAAAGGTTATCCAATCACATTGTGGGTCTATTAGGTGAAAACCAACGCACTTGTTTTATTTTTGGTATGAATATGGATATACAACGTGAACTGGAAATTCTCAAACCTTACTTTGTTCATCAATCCATAAGCCTCGCAAAGTTAATGGAAGCCAAGATTTAAGATATCAAACTAAAAACCTTTGTTGATCTTCAACATTTCAGCTACCCATTCTAACCCTTCAAATCATATTATTCATAACCCTACTTCAACCACATCATCCAAATTAAATAATTTTGTTATTAATTTAAACAAAAGAAGGAGTGAGAATTGTGAACTTTAACAAAATGTGAATGTGAGATGCCGCAATGAAAAGTGAACATGAACAAGATATTGATGACAACGAAAACATAGAGTTGAGATGTCACAACAATATTGTCAAGATGTAAGAGTTGATACTCAATGCAGAGTTGAGATGTTGTAGTTGATAAGGGGTTTAAGACTGGTTAGATCATCAATTCACGATCTGATTGACGAGTTTGAGTCCACTTTTAAAACTATGCTTAAGAGAGATAAATAGAAAATAGAAAGATGATAAATAATATATTGTAAGCAATAATATTATATTAATGCTTATTTTATTAGAAAAATTATACAATTAATTTACCAAAATACTCCAATTAGAGCATACTATTCTTCATGAAAAAATTGTTTCAATGTTAATAACTTTATATAATAAGATATATATACTCCATAAGGTCTTTATTATAGGACATTTTTAATTTAATCACATGAACTAATATAAGTAGTTATTTTAGTTGATTTTCTTGAGATTATAAAACAAAACCATGATGTGCCAATTTAATTTTCTTACTTATCATTACACTTTGATGAGAGATGTAAATTTTTTTTTATTAAAGTTTATGCATCAATACCAATGAAATTAACAAATGACAATTGAAGACTTAATTGAGAGGTAATTAAGACAAAACATTTACTTTTTAAAATACCCTTCTCATTATCCACCATTAAAAAATAGTATTCTCATAATCTTTAATAACAATAAATAATGAAAAATAAAATTTATATTTTATAGAAATCGTAAAGTGACTCATAAAAATTTCTTTCTAAATTGTGACTTATAGTAAGAAATAGAGGGAGTATATTGGTTGATATATTAGTTTGTCCCAAATTTAGCAGATGTCTACCAAAAACATGTATTATAGGAAGAAATTACTTGTTAAACAAGTTTAGATTTATATGTAAATATTTATTGAGGAAAAATATTGAAATGAATGTTGATTTCAGTGCTTTATTATACATGCTTATTTTAACCTTTAATTTTATTGTCACAATTCGTAAATTTATTTTAATTTGACTCACATTTTTGGTATTTTGAATTTAAATTTAATTTAATTATTTTTTTTTATAACTTACGACACTATACTTGTATAGTTTTTTATTAATTATTTTATTATATTTGATTTTAATTTTATTAAATATCTATTTTTCTATTTATTATTAAAATATAAAAATATCTTATTTAATTAAAAAGTAAAGTAATACATAAACTTAAAAATACATGAACTTAGAACTAATTGTTAGATATTAAATGTTGACAAAAAAAATGAGAGCTGGCATTGACGTATATTTATTTATGGAAGAGACTTCTTGGTAAGAGGAGTGAAGTCCATACCAACATGTTGATTATGATTTACAAAATTATGAATAAAAAATTTTCCGGTCCGGTTATTGTGTTTTAAATAGTGACCAATGTTTCTTTTATGTAGTAATACAACGGTTCCTATTTCTTTCGCTTCATGGAGGACATTCTCGGCTCTCCCATACTAGTCTCTATCTATGTTAATAATGATGATGATTTAATTTTTACTTCAATTTGTAGGAATTAAAAACTTAATTTGTCTCCCTCAAAAAAAAAAACTTAATTTGTCTATATTTATTCATATATTTACAAGAATTAAATTAAAAAAACACATTCTATTCATACATACATATGATCATTTAACACGTCCTTCAATATATCAATATATAGAATAATTAAAAACCATTTCAATGACTCATTGTTGGATTACATTGCTACTTTTTGTGCTATATTGTTTTGGCTAATTCGTAATAGTGTTTTTCCTTCAAGACTCAGGCTTGCTGAAGTGAAATTGGCAACAATGAGAGATCGTCGATTATTCTTTGGCTCGATCATTTATTTATCGCAACCCGCAACTAACAAAAGGCTTACCCAACTTGAAACATCATCTGCATGTAGGAATCGAATAAAACATTGTTCTCTTACCAACTAAGAGAAGTCCCAAATACCATGCTTATAGAAAACTTCTGACAGTAGAAAGTTGAACCATGAGTGAACAAGCTGCGTTGGCCAAAGACGTGTAACTAGGTCACATGTCAGTGCCAACAACAATGTCAACCCATGAACACCATTTCCAACAATGTCAGGAGAACTAAATCTGCAAATGCTCAACTTCAACCTATTCAAGGTGTTAACCCGCATCGATGTCATGCAACAAAACCATCAACTTCCTGTTCCTAACCACCATATATCCTTCAATTCCTCTATAACATGAAAGTATTTTTCTGCAATGTTTAATTAGGTGATGTCGTTTTTTTTAGAAGAGACGCAGCCGGAAATGACAATGGAATTAACAACGAAAATGAAGTCAGTCGTCGTCTATCACATGAACTGGAATCATCGAAGAGTCTTTTTCCTTTATTTCCCCTCACTTCTGAAAGGTTGAGTGAAGAGCTTTCTCAGCCAGAAACAAATCTTGCTCCTTTCAACTATATCACTGTGTCTCTTTATCCTCAGGATGTGATGGTATTGGTGCATGGATCCAGATATGTTAATGAAGGAATCTTATTTGGTCCTCAAGTTGCAACCTGGTACATACATCCCTAGGATTATGTATCATTCAGCAAGCTAGCCCTTCGAATTTGGGTCCATCACAAGGCTTACCAGAATTGATAATACCTCTTCAATCTAGTGTGATAAGATCTGTATGCTTTCCACCCTCAACCTATCCAACCATGTGTTAATTATGAACCTTTCCTGCTATAACAAACTTCTACAGTTGAAATAAGAAGGGTTGCTTCTCAGGTATAATCAATGCTCACCTTCTTGTAATATATATAATTTTCATGCAATGTTTTGCAGCATTAGTGTCTTATCACCCAATTCACCGAATTAAATATTGACATTTTCGTTATTATCTTTAGCTACAACTTCATATTCAACATTGTTCACATTTAATGGTGTTCGTATGCAGAATGGACAGACAATCACATGTCAAGTGAAATTGATCTTTCACAACTACATGCGGGACTAGGTGAAGAAGTAATCATACAACACATTAAGCGTGAAAATTTCACTTTTGTAATTGATAAGGAGAATCCAAAAGAAAAAGTATAATATATATGATGGATTTATGTTTACATTATACTTTCTTCTTCTTTTTTTTTTATCTTTTGGATTCTCTTCCATTACAAAGTGAAGTTTTCCCGCTTAATGTGTTGTACAATCACTTCTTTTCTAAGTCCCGCGTGTGATTGTGTAAGATTAATTTCACTTTGGATTTATGTGTGCCCAATATGTAAACGAATACGGAATGTGAACAATGTGAAAAATGAAGTTTTAGCTGAAGGTAATAATGAAAATGTCAATATTTAGTATGTTGAATAGATCAATGAGGAGCTAATGTTGAAAACACTATATGAAATACATATATGTATGTTACATAAAGGTGAGCATTGAGTATACCTGAGTTGGAATCCTTCAATAGAGGTTTGCTGCGGCAGAAAAGTTTTGTAACAGACACAAGGTTGATGGTGAAATGCAGGTCTTATTAGATGAGCTTGAAGAAGTATTATCACTTCAATTGAATTATGGACCCCAATTTGAAGGCCAGCATGCTCAGTAAAAGGGTGATACGATATTCCCAGGGGCTTTCCTCCTTGCAACTTGAGGATAAAAAAGGATACCTTGTGAATGTATCTGAATACATGTAATGATACATCACAACTTGAGGATGAAAAGGCACAATGACGTAGTTGAAAGGAGAAAATTTGTTTGTGGCTGAGGAAGCTCTTCATTCAACCGTTCAGCAGTGAGGGGAAATAAAGGAAGAAAGCCTCTCCAATGATTCAAGTTCAAGTGATAGATGATGACTCACTTCATTTTCGTTGTTAATTTCATTGTTCTCTTCAGCTGCATCTCCTTTAAAAAAAATGACATCACATAATTAAAACAGTGCAGACAAATAATTTGATGTTCTATAGAGGAATTGATGATCTTAATTACCTTGAGGATTCATTACTGATACCAGGAATGTTCCCGGTTGCAAAAGACCTGTTCTCATGAGAATGGTTAGGAAAATTCCAAAAGTGTTCTCAGTTACAACTAGAGGACCAAACAAGATAAGCCTATTTTTAGTGACAAATTATGATTGATAGAAGGGTTTTGATGAGTTTCATCATGGAACTTGAAGGAGAAATGTTGGATCCCAATGCTACATTTGGGGATTCATGAGGAGAACACCAGTAGGACCTAGCAGAGGGAGATTCATATTGGCTGAGGATGCCCAATGCCCATCAAGGAACCTATCTTTTCTCAGTTTCAGCAGAGAGGAAAAATTGGAAGGATGTTCTGTCATGCATAACTCTAGTGATAGATGAGAGGTGACTTCATTTTGGTTGTTTGCGCCCCTTGCATCAGTTTCTCCAATAGCGCCGCACCTTTCACAAAACAAATAATATATTTTTAAAAATTACAGTAGCCTTTAATTAATCTCAATATTAAAACTATTATGCTTAAAAGATTATTTTTGACAAACGAAAATTCTAAATACGGATTCTGATAACATGAATTCAAAGGAACATTAAAAAATATATATATTTTTACATACAATTTTGTGCATTCAAATTCAGGTACCAGCTGCAGATAAAATTTATTTTTCTTATAAAATGTATTTTTATAAACCAAACGCTAAATACCAAATTGCTTACAACATCAATACGTAGAAAAATAAAATAAAATAATCCACTCACACATCAAATCCACTCAAACATCAAAATCTTAACTAAAAAAAATTTTTTTAAATAATCAATAAAAAAAGGGACATATCAATTAACAATCTATCATATCATTTTATTTCACATATAATAAAGATGTAAAGATCTAGAAAATGATACCAAATAGATATGTATATATGAAAATTGGTATGTCCGGACAGTGAAAGTTGATATCTTTCTCACTTTGTCTTAATTTCTCACTTTTAGCAATGAAATGACAAACAAGAAGGATCTTTTACCATGCATAACTCTAGTGATAGATCAATTACCTTGAGGATTTTATGAAAAGTGTGGAGTGAGACTCATATTGCTTCAATTTACACAAAGAATTTAGGGTTATTCTAAAATAACCTTATATTTTAAAGTAAAAGGAAAAATTTATTAAGAATATGATGATTGCTCGGATCAAATACACACACATCAAAATCCTAACTAAAAAAATATTTTTTCAAAAGTAATCAATATATAATAAAGGGAGATATCTGATTAAAATAATCTATCACATCATCTTATTCCACATATAATCAAGATCGGATCTAGAAAACGATACCAATTAGATCTGTAGATATGAGAATTTGTATTCATGGACCCTCAAAGTTGATAGCTTGCTCAGATTCTCTTGATTTCTTTCGCCGTGTATTTCATGAACAATGAAGACTGAGATGCCCCAATTTATAGAGAAAATTTAGGGTTAATTTGGAAAACCTCAATTTTTGAAATAGAAATAAAATTATATTTAAAATAGTTATATAAATTCTCTTTTTTTTATTTAAGTTTGATACAACAAGCCCAATAGACACTAAAGGCCCAAATGTTCGATTCACAACCCAAAATTAATACCTTAATTTTAGTTCGCTCATGTTATATATCCTATTGTTTATAAGTACACCTCTTTTTCTTAAAAAAAAAATTCTAAAACATCATTAATTTTCTTGTACTCTTTAATTATTTAATTTCACACATCCAATGTTCAATTTAATACTTTTTCCTTCTTTGTCACGCACCTTTTTTCCTTTCCCTCTTCGTTTTATATGCATTTGTTTGCCCTTCCCACACTCTCCACCTATTATAGTAGGTAATTTTGATTCTTTGAGTTTTCACATTACTCACTTCCTCTTCTCTTTCAGTTTTTACATGCATTCGAGCCATAGAGCTGGTGCATGACAACCTTGTAAGCATGTATGACTTCCTCGATAGTGTCGAAGGTGTCGAGGCATACACACTTTTAACTTCCAATACTTTCTCTCTTTTTACACTTTTAAAAACATTAACATTAAACTCAGTGTTCTGAAAAATAATATCTTGAAACATTAATTTTAATGTTCTAGAAAATAATTTTTAAAATAGTAAAATTAGTGTTTCGAAAAATATTTTTTGAATTGTGCTAGTACTTCCAGAATAGTAAAATTAGTATTTCAAATATTACTTTTCAAAAGTGTGTTATTTTATATAATTTTGAAAAATTCTTTCTAGAATAATAAATTTAGTATTCCAAAAGTATTGTCGAAAGTATGTAAAAAATACAATTCTAGAAAATACTTTCTGGAACACTAATATTATTGTTCTAGTTTTTGCAAAGCTAAAATTAATGTTTCTAGACATTATTTTTCGGAACAATGAGTTTAATGTTATTCTTTTTGAATGATAAAGAAAGGAGAGGAAGTGCTCGAAAAAAACACGTGTTTGGCTCGACTCTTTCAACACTATCAAGGAAGTCGCACATGCCTATAACATTGTCATGTAGCAATTTTACATTACGTGTGAAAATTGAAATAATAACAAATCTGAAAATTGAAAGGGAACGAAGGAAGAGACTAATGTGAAAATCAAAAAAATTAAAAATATCTACATGGTAAAGGAAGATAAGGGAGTGAATATAAAAGCTGAAAGGTAGAGGGAAAGTAGAGTGTCAAAAAGAAGGAAAAAATGATAAATTGAACATTGAAAATGTAAAATTAAAAAATTAAAGATTTTTTAATAATTTTTTTTTAAAAAACAAATTTACTTATAAAAAAAAGGATATATATATATATATATATATATAATTTATGTAATGTTTTGTAGCATTAGTTCCCCAGCATCAATCCATTAAATGAATTAAGCATTTACATTTTACTTATTACCTTCAACTACAACTTCATTTTCAACATTGTTCACATTCAATGCTGTTTGTTTGTGGATTGGGCACACAACTACATGCAAAGTGAACTTGATTTTTCACAACCACATGTGAGATTGAGTGAAGAAGTGATATTTTAAAAAAAATTACAAATTTTGATCTATGCATTTAAAACTTTAAATTCAACGGATGGATCATTAAAATTGGTTGTAAAACATGAGTTATTGAACGGGTTAAGTCTAAGTAGACTTACTCTTAAAATAAACGGATATATATATATATATATATATATATATATCATGAGCCTTTTAGTTTATTTTAAATTATGAATTTTTAGCTATTTAGAGACTTGCATAGGGTTTCTATTAAAATGTGATACAAACTTCTAGAATAAGCTAGATTATTATAGAAAAATACATAGTTGTATACTAGTAACTACTAGATGGTACAAATTCTAGAATTATGTAGACAATTACATATAGATAGAAAATTCTATAATAGATATCTCTAGAATTCTCTATATATATAAAACATGAATGGTGGTGTTGAGGACTATAAGTAGGCCATGTATCCAACATTTGTAACCAAGCAACTAGTAAGTCATTTCCACTCAAATATATTCTAACTATTCCTCTAAGCTAGTTTTCCTTTCAACTAATCCTATAAATATAAATTTGCCACTCCATTCTTTCTATCAATTATAGACACCCAATTTCGTCCTGACTCGCAAAAGAATGAAATGGACTTCTATCATGAAAAGAAGGAGTTCCCAAAGCATGGAGATGGCATCATATGACAACAAGGAAGCTTGAAGCCCAAAACAAGTTTGTTTTAGTAGCCTAGAATGGGCTGTTTCAAAATCGAAACGGACCGTTCCCAAGTTGGAACGGGCCGTTCCCAAGTTGGAATGGGTCGTTCTTAAACTAGAACAGGTCATTCCAAGCTACTAAAAGACCCAAAACCCCTAATTGAGAATAGGCCAACATTGGCCATTCCAATCAGTTTGTTACGAGACAGGTTCAAATTTGGAACGGGTTGTTCTGTCATTAGAATGGGCCGTTCCAGGTTCAAAATTAACTCATAACTGAATGACCTAGAATAGGCGGCCGTTCCGATCCAAAATGTGTCATTCTGGTCAAGTCTGACGTTTATAAATAGTAGACTCAGGCACTGCTCCCGGGGTCAAAAAAATTGCTTTTAGAACTCCTTATAGCTCGAAAATCCTTTCTCTCCCTTCTATTGTATTTCTTGAGATTCTGTTAGTTACATTGTAGTGTGCTAGGTTGCCAAAAAGCACCTAAGATTTCCCCTATTTAAAGATTCAATAAAGTTCATTAAAGAGGTATTTCAGTCAACTCTTTGCTCTTTCCTATATTTTCTTGTTTTTTTTAACATCGTTATAATAAAGGCAACCATGTAGACCTTTCAAGATCAACCGTGTAATTTAAATTTCAAGCATGTAAATAAATATTAATAAAGGGAATCTAATATTTAATTTATTAATTCTTATCACATTAACTTCATCATAGGGTACCAGTTGAGGGCGTTATAGGGGTGTTTAATACCTTCCCTACATGTAACCGACTCCCGAACCCAATTCCTCGAACCCAATTTTGGTTATTAAGGCCATCATTGGAATTCCAAAAAAAAACCTTTCCTTTTTTCAATGTTTTGAGCAAAACATTGGTGGCGACTCCTACGAACAATTTTCAAAATCATTAGTTAAGGATTAGTCTGGTCTCCGGACATTCTTTAATTGATGAGATTTTCAAAAAATAATCTAAACCATTTAGTCGCAAGATCAAAAATTTTGGGGTTGCGACACCAATCAAAGAAGTTTTTACAATTTGATAATTCATAAAATAATATGGTACCAGAGCTATGTTCGGTCATCTACTGGGCGTAGAAATATTACCCCACTACTTAAAAAAAACGATTCTCAACATTCTACCCACTTGAAAAAAAAAACATTAATCCATGGCTAACATCATTCAACCATCATCTATCCCTATCCATAAATTAACAAAATTACAATTACAACACCTTAGTAATTTTTTGTCCAAAAATTTCTAAGTCATTGATGTATATAGTTTTTTCTTTCATTTGCATGCATAATAAGTGACCTTTGAAGATAACATTTTACTATTGCTCATTAAACTTCTTTACTTCCCGCCGCTTGAAAAAAAATTGATTTGTGTACTATGTTAATCACAACCCAAACATTCTTTAGACTCAAGTTATTAGCACATCTATCTTCGAAAATTAATGCCCCTTGTTGTGGGAAAGAATCAATACCAAAGCTTAGTAACAGTCATCACAAACCCGAGTTTAAAATAAAGCACAAAGTTATTGTAGTTAGACGATGAAACCCAATATATAAGGTAACTTCATCAAATAAGACATTCATCTTGGGAATGTTACTTTGAATGGTCTTTTCACTTTATCATATTGTACAAATGATGTTAATGAAAAATAAATAACACACTTAAAGAAGAAAAAAACTATGTATAGGTACTCAAAGTAGGTATTTTAAACTATATAAAATCAAAGAGAAAAATAATGAAAATATAGAGACTAGAAGGAAAATTAAGTTAAATTATAGGAATTAAAAAGATATTTAAAAACGTCTCGTCAAAATTGCTTCATCGAATTGGTCTTTGCCACTTCATCACAATACAAAATAATGAAAAATAAATGACAAAAGAAAGTGTGTACAATGACTTAAATGACTATTTTAAATTACTAGGAATTAAAAAGAAATGTAAGTGAAATTATATAAATCAAAAAAGTATTTAAACCTTAAAAACTAGACAAAAAAATCATATTTTCAAATTCATATAACAAAGAAGAAATCAAGGAGGTCTAGAATAAATGGTTGAGTTCGGTGTGTGAATGTTATAAATTTTATTGATACATGTGTTTGATTCACATGGATAAAAAAGGCTATTTAATGTTTTCATAATTAATGTTTTTATTGATTGTTTAGAAAAATTAATTTCCACCATTTATATCATTAAAAAAAATTCAACCCATCTCTCTACACTTATTGCAAAATTATTTATTGTCCAAGTCAACTAATTAATGTCTTTCAAATTTGATAATGTATATAAATTGACAACTGTTATCGTAAAAGCTTTATATATATATA